ATATATGTACATACATACATACATACATTAGACATTTGTGAGAAGTTTTGTCATAATTAGTGTATGACGTATTGAATTATGGCCAAAAACATATTTTGTGAGGTCACACCGACTTTGAACTTTGAAACTTTGACCTTGGACTATAGGTGTGCGATAAATATCGTCTACGATAGTATGATAAATGTTGTTTTGACAATGTGCAATTTTACATTATCAAATATTCATACTATCTCGAAAAGAAAACAAATGAAATGCGTGTAGACGGTAAAGGAGAGGTGCATAAAAGTCAGAATTCGTGCCTCAGAAGCCAATCAGCAGGCACGATTCAGTCATGTGGTGATAACATGATCTCCCACAACCAGGGTTGCCAGGTCCGCTTATTAGCCGCGACTTTGGGCTTGTTTTCGCTTACAAATATTGGTAGTCGCGGGTTGCAGTTTTTTGGGCTTGTTTCTAAAGCACGATGGCCTATCCTCTCTTCCTCCTCCTCCTCGTGGCTTGTGGTTGATATGGTGTTAGCTGACATGATATCTGTATGTGTTATGCAGTTTTTCTGTTCATTAATCACAGTGTTGGATTTTCTTGTTACCTTGGCAACGTCCCACATGTTTGATGTCGATCTTGAGCTGTTTGAGGCAGGATGCTTCGCGGACATGGCAGGGCGTGTCGTAGGTGATGCCATCACTGCCACACACTGGGTTGTCATTGTGGCCATTACACACAATGTTACACATGCAGCTGGAAACAAACACAAACATCAAGATTGTCTTATTTGTGTTGTTGTTACATGTAATCATTAACAATTCCTGGGATTTTTTTTTATTACAGATATTTTTTAACTTTTTTATGCTTTCCATGTTTGAGCTTTTTAAATACTGACATTTTTTACTTTTTTACTACTGACACTTTTTACTTTTTCATGCCTGGCATATTTTTGACATTGTTTTCACTCCCAACATTTTTGACTTTTTTGTTTTTGCCTGACATCTTTTTGACTTTTTTTCATGTCAACAATATTTTTGACATGTTTTTCAATCCCAACATTTTTTAATTATTTTTATGCCTGACATATATTTTTTGACTATTTTTTACGACTGACATTTTTTACTTTTTTTTCCTGCTTCACATAATTTTGACATTTTTTCACTCCTGCCATTTTTTACTTTTTTATGCTTGACACTTTTTTATTTTTCACTCCTGCCATTTTTCACTTTTTTTTTGCTTAACATATTTTTGACTTTTGTTATCACTCCAGACATTTTTGACTTTGTTATGCTAGATATATTTTTTATTTTTTATGCTTAACATATTTTTTTTTACTTTTTTTTCCACTACTGACATTTATAACTTTTTTCATGCTTAGCATGTTTTTGAATTTTTTTCACTGACAACATTTCTGATGTTTTTATTTCCCTGACAAGTTGAGTATTTTTTTTACTACCAACATTAACAACATTTTTGCCTGAAAATTTATTTTTTACTCCCAACATTTTTTTTTTTTTTTTGTGATCAATTATTTATTGATTTTTTCCATTAAAAAATAGCAAAATGAAAAATAAGACACAAACCTTCTCCCCATCCCATAAACCTCTAGGGGACCATTAGGCCAGTAGTTTTTACAAAATAATTCTAGGAACTCAATTGAGCATATTAAGTAGTGAATACATAACATACACAAACCTATATGTACCATACATATCAACTGACATATACTCGTATAGTATTGTTGATATTGTTGGGAAATGTGAGAACAAAAAAATCAACTGACTCTGATGACACTGACATGATGATACTGAAAAAAGTTATAGATGGAATATCAAAACCACTCACATATATATGTAACTTATCATTCCCATCCAGTACATTTCCAAACAGAATGAAAACAGCTAAAGTCATTCCTCTGTATAAATCTGGGAACAAACACCACTTCACAAACTACAGACCTGTCTCACTACTTCCGCAATTCTCGAAAAACTTTTCAATAACTGACTGGACAAATTTATTGATAAACACAACCTACTTACTGACAGTCAATATGGATTTAGATCAACATCACTGGCCTTACTAGAATTAATTGAAGAAATGACTAATTCCATAGAGCAGAAAAAACATGCAGTTGGAATATTCATCGATTTAAGGAAAGCATTTGACACAATAAATGACATACAGTACAGGCCAAAAGTTTGGACACACCTTCTCATTCAATGCGTTTTCTTTATTTTCATGACTATTTACATTGTAGATTCTCACTGAAGGCATCAAAACTATGAATGAACACATGTGGAGTTATGTACTTAACAAAAAAAGGTGAAGTAACTGAAAACATGTTTTATATTCTAGTTTCTTCAAAATAGCCACCCTTTGCTCTGATTACTGCTTTGCACACTCTTGGCATTCTCTCCATGAGCTTCAAGAGGTAGTCACCTGGAATGGTTTTCCAACAGTCTTGAAGGAGTTCCCAGAGGTGTTTAGCACTTGTTGGCCCCTTTGCCTTCACTCTGCGGTCCAGCTCACCCCAAACCATCTCGATTGGGTTCAGGTCCGGTGACTGTGGAGGCCAGGTCATCTGCCGCAGCACTCCATCACTCTCCTTCTTGGTCAAATAGCCCTTACACAGCCTGGAGGTGTGTTTGGGGTCATTGTCCTGTTGAAAAATAAATGATCGTCCAACTAAACGCAAACCGGATGGGATGGCATGTCGCTGCAGGATGCTGTGGTAGCCATGCTGGTTCAGTGTGCCTTCAATTTTGAATAAATCCCCAACAGTGTCACCAGCAAAACACCCCCACACCATCACACCTCCTCCTCCATGCTTCACAGTGGGAACCAGGCATGTGGAATCCATCCGTTCACCTTTTCTGCGTCTCACAAAGACACGGCGGTTGGAACCAAAGATCTCAAATTTGGACTCATCAGACCAAAGCACAGATTTCCACTGGTCTAATGTCCATTCCTTGTGTTTCTTGGCCCAAACAAATCTCTTCTGCTTGTTGCCTCTCCTTAGCAGTGGTTTCCTAGCAGCTATTTGACCATGAAGGCCTGATTGGCGCAGTCTCCTCTTAACAGTTGTTCTAGAGATGGGTCTGCTGCTAGAACTCTGTGTGGCATTCATCTGGTCTCTGATCTGAGCTGCTGTTAACTTGCGATTTCTGAGGCTGGTGACTCGGATGAACTTATCCTCAGAAGCAGAGGTGACTCTTGGTCTTCCTTTCCTGGGTCGGTCCTCATGTGTGCCAGTTTCGTTGTAGCGCTTGATGGTTTTTGCGACTCCACTTGGGGACACATTTAAAGTTTTTGCAATTTTCCGGACTGACTGACCTTCATTTCTTAAAGTAATGATGGCCACTCGTTTTTCTTTAGTTAGCTGATTGGTTCTTGCCATAATATGAATTTTAACAGTTGTCCAATAGGGCTGTCGGCTGTGTATTAACCTGACTTCTGCACAACACAACTGATGGTCCCAACCCCATTGATAAAGCAAGAAATTCCACTAATTAACCCTGATAAGGCACACCTGTGAAGTGGAAACCATTTCAGGTGACTACCTCTTGAAGCTCATGGAGAGAATGCCAAGAGTGTGCAAAGCAGTAATCAGAGCAAAGGGTGGCTATTTTGAAGAAACTAGAATATGAAACATGTTTTCAGTTATTTCACCTTTTTTTGTTAAGTACATAACTCCACGTGTTCATTCATAGTTTTGATGCCTTCAGTGAGAATCTACAATGTAAATAGTCATGAAAATAAAGAAAACGCATTGAATGAGAAGGTGTGTCCAAACTTTTGGCCTGTACTGTATTAATAAAAAACTGGAACGATATGGCATCAGGGGTATAGTTTTAAACTGGGTTAAAAGCTACTTAAGCAACAGGAGACAGTTTGTGAAGCTGGGAGATTGTTCCTCTTCATACTTGGACATAACTTGTGGTGGGGTCAGTGTTAGGACCAAAGTTTTTCATATTGTATATCAATGACATATGTAATGTATCTAAAGTAATGAAACTTGTCTTGTTTGCTGACGACACAAATATCATTTTTTCTGGTGATAATTTAATGGAACTATTGCAGGAGATCACAACAGAAATAAGTAAATTGAAAATATGGTTCAACAGTAACAAATTATCATTAAACTTGAACAAATCCAAAGTAATATTATTTGGTAACAACAACATAAACACACAAATAAATATTCAAATAGATGGGGTTATTATAGAAAGAGTTAAGGCAATCAAATTTCTTGGAACAACTACTGATGAAAAACTCAGTTGGAAACCACATATAAAAAACATACATTCCAAAGTATCAAAAAGTATTGCAATATTAAATAAAGCCAAACAGTTTCTAGATCACAATTCACTCCGGGTTCTTTACTGTTTACTGGTTTCACCTTATTTAAGTTACTGTGCAGAAGTATGGGAAAACAAACAAAAATACAATACATTCATTATTCATCCTCCAAAAAAGAGCAATAAGGATTATTCACAAGGCTGGTTAACAGGATCAAACAAATACATTATTAATACAGTCAGAAATACTCAAATTAGCAGATCTGGTGGACTTTCAAACAGCACAAATATTATTCAAAGCAAAAAATAATCAACTTAATAACATAATATTCAAAGATTGTTCACTGAAAGAGAAGGGAGTTATATTTTAAGGGCTTTATTTAATTTTAAAAATTATAGGGTGCGCACAATCAAAAAAAGTTTTTGTATTTCTGTTTTTGGGGTGAAGCGGTGGAACGGTTTAAATGAGGAGCTCAAGGGATGTCCAAACATGAAGTGTTTTAAAAATTTGTATAAAAATTTGATTTTCACAAGGTTCAGGGATGAAGGGGATTGATCATAACTGGGTGTTTACTGTGTATCTGTTTAGTTTATTTTGTTCTTTCCTGATTTACCATCTATCTGTTTTGTTTTGTTTTGTTTTTTTCCATCGTGAGTGTGGTATTGGTAGTAAATTTATATATCCATATTGATATACAGACATATATAATTATTTAATATAGATATAAGGAAGCTAGATAATCAATTTATATTGAATTGCGAGGGGTGGGATTAAATAAGTTTTTACTTCAGCCCTTTCTTTCTTCTGTTTGTTTATTTATTGTATTTGTTATTTGTTTACATGTTCGAAATAAAGATTACTAACTAACTAACTAACTATATTACATGCAAACACATATAACATCATATGTATGAGTATGTGTATACACCCACACACCCAACACATGCCCCAATGATAATGAGAGAGAGAGAGATAATAAAAAAGAAGAGAAATAATAAAAATAAACAATAAAGATATCTGCAAAGTACCACACCCCATACCCTCCACCCCCACCCACCCACAGGACCCAAAGGATGGATCAGAGATGGCTATAATAAAAATTTTAAGTTGATAATGGCATCATTCCAATATGAAATATTTTCAGGTTTGGCGAGATGCAGATTGGCTGCCCAGCACTCTATGATTGCTATATCTATAAAATCTAGCAGCCATTTTTAGATAGTATATGGGCAGGTTTCCATCTGCATGCTATCAGCCTTTTTGCAGCAGTGAGGCCGGCCAGAAAAAGGCGTTTGAGTTTGACAGGCAGGTCCAAGCCAGACGAATCATTAAGTAATTATATAGTAGGTGAAAAAGGAATCTATTTAGACAATAATATGGATAGGACACCACACACTTTCTTCCAGAAATCCACAACACCCGGGCACTCCCAAACCATATGATAAAAAGTGCCTAAGCTGTTTTGAGGGCATAGGGTGCCATTAGGGGATGGCAAGGCTTTAAGTTTAAACAGAGTGCGTAGAGTGAGATAAGACCTGTGTATGAAATTGAAATGAATAATTCGGTGCTTGGGGTTTCTGGAAGATAACTACAGATGCCAGAT